CTGGCCGCGGGCGGCCTCGGGGGTGTTGTCGGCGGACCTTCTTAATGAATTAATTTTGGAGTCTCGGGAAAATCTCGTCATCGGCGGGGTCGATGGCGTCGTCGGCGCTCTAGTTCAATTCTTCACATTTTGGTCCTTTTTGCTCCAAATTTGCTCATTTTTTCACCCTATTTCATCATTCCTGCAACAAAACATCAAAAATATCTTTCTTTAAAGTGTAATATCATCAAAAACAGTATAAAATAGGTATGAAAATCTCAACATATTTTCCTTTGGTCACTAGCCTTGGGCTAAGTCCAAATTGATTATTAAAAATTGTCAATAAAAACATCATAAAAAGTTTTCAACATAAATTGGGTGCCAATTTTGGGGTTAAGGCAATCAATTTGGTGAAATTTGGAGGCATGGCCAATTTGGGGCAAATTTGGGGCTTTTGGACTTAAGTCAAGATTAAATGAAATTGAGGCTTCACCAAGGCCAATTGAAGGTCAAGTTTGATGTATGGAAATGTTATGAAGAGTTTTCAACATAAATTATGGCAAATTGAGTGGGCTATGGGTTTAATTGGGTGAGATTAGGTCATGTGGCCAAAATTAGGACTTTTGATTTGGATCAAAATTGGGCTCAAAGCATGGGCCAATTGAGCTTGTATTTGATTTATATTGGTCATATAAAAGGTGTATTTGAGTTTAGGAATTTAAATTGGGAGAAATGGGGACCAATTTGATGGACATTTGAAGTGGATTTGGGGAGATTGGGCTTTTAAAGGAAATTTGAGGTAGTTGAGGAAAGTGAAATTGGGAATATTTGGAGTACTTTGAGAATTTTTAGGATTTTTTGGAATTTTGGGCTAAGGAGGGGTATTTTGATAATTTGGGGATTTTTAGTGATTTTGGGTAATTTGGGTGTTTTCAAAAGGTTTGAAATGATTTTTGAACAAATTTGGAACAAATTTGGGTATTTTGAACAAATTTGGGTATTTTGACCAAATTTAGGGTTTCAATGGCACTTAGGTAATTTGGGGGAGCTTATGGGCAAAAGACTAAGTTGGGCATTTTGGTAGAGTTGGGGTGCCAACCACCATAAATAAGCCATGGACCAATGGAAACCCCATTTTGGGTCCTCTATGTACTGGTCTTAGCTAAACCCTAGCCTAGGGCCAGTGGGTTTAGGGGACCATATACATAAGTATCCCAAGAGATTAAGGGATTAGAGTCAAGAAAAATTTGGGTTTCAATTTGTGAGTGATTGTGAGTGAGGTGATTACTGGTGAGTGCCTTAACTTTAAACCAACACCCAGGGCCAACCCTAAGGTCCAACAGTCCTATAGGAACTCTTCTTGAGCTCCCCCATAGTGACCCCACCACCTACTAAGTGCAGAGGTTAGGACCAATATGTAGAACTTCAAGTTGAGTAAAGAGGAGTTTAGAATTTCTATTTGTGAGGGTTCCTTTTCTAGTTTTCTAGGAATAGTCAACAGAAAGTCTTATGGCTAGACCTTAGGCTACTAAAGAGGAACACTAGATCTCAAACAAAAATGAGGTCAACAACCACATGTCAAATAATGCAATAAAGTGCACAGAATTTAATAGTAAGAATTTGCTTTAAAAAATAACAAAATTTGTGATTATGTGGCTTTCTAAGGAGCAGATGTTGTAGTATGTGTGAAGATGAGACCATCCAATTCCAACCATCTAGCCTTATACATAGGATTGAGTGGTAGAGGGGTAAATATTTAAAAAAAAGACTTTCTAATTTATTTCATTGTAGCTTTTGTGGAGTACTTCATTATTGCGGCATTTACAAACATACCATCCAATTCTTATGTATTTGTATATCTAACACTTTTTTTTTACATTTATTCCACCTAAATCTTTCATATTCCATAAAAAAATACCGCTATTTTATTCTTATGTATGTGGCGTATTCCGGCTTGTTGGTTGGCATCCACAGTGTAAGACCCCTCAGGTCGGGGGTTCGAATCCCCTCTAGCGAATTGAGCCTTAAAAAGGTGGTACTCGAATAGTTAGACACATTAGGATTGGCTGGAGGCTCGTAATATATATATATAATTCATTACTTCAAGCAAGGAGAAAAATAATGACACGGGTTACTTGAAGCTTTTAACAAAAGGTAATCTTAGAGAAAACCCACATAAAAACAACTATGGGAACACAATCTAAGGATGCCCCTCTCTTTGCATGCCAATTTATTAGTTAATTACCATCTCGTTAGATGTGACACCATCTATCCTGTTGGTGTTAAACTAATACAACAATTCATTTCGTGATGAGAGTAAGCTCCCAAGGAACCCTCTCTTCAAAGCTCCCAAGGAACCCTCTCTTCACCTCTGAGTAAGTACAATATAGAAAGTGATTCTATTTCAATATGTAGAAATTTCCAATTCAAGGATCGTGCTATCTTAGTAGCATACACGAAAGCCCACGGTTTAGATTGAATGGCAAAAATAGCAAGTTAAGATCATAAAAAGTATAACACGCAGTTGCCCATATTATCTCTGCAGACACCTCCATCTCTATTGTTGGAGAACTACAATCCAAATTTACTTTAAATCCATGGTCGAACGGGTCTAGTCCATTCCGCCACCAGCACTTTTTTCTTTCTAGCACTGCTAAAAGGTTTCTTAAGCATATTCATAACCTCCTTTAGTCATGAAAAATCATTCTATTTGACTTTCCCAAAAATATTCACCTTATAAAAGCAAGCTTTAATGTAAGTAACCATAATTCCATTGTCAACCTAAAGTTTGTCATGCTGTGTTGAATTCCTTGTCATCCAGATAAACCACATAATTATGAGTGGTGTTATATTTTTTAAATGCAAAGATCTGCTATTTAGAGCTTTCTCGCCGAACATACAATCATTAATAGATTGAAAACCTGCATATAGACATACCTACACATGTACATACATTTAATTTGAAGACAAAGAAGATAACCTAAAGTTTACTCAGTTACAAATCTTCTGAAAATTCTACAAAAGGTTTTCAAGTACACACATATTGAAATCAAGATACATGAAATATTCAAAAACTAAGTACTGCAATGGTAGATACTTAGTTTACAAATGTTTATACTCTGAGAGATTGGGATATCATCATAACTTCTTAACTTCAGCTACAACAACGGTGCCACAATAATAATAACATAGCTATGAATTACAACATTGACCAAAATTAATATTTTGATAAGGAATTTAACATCCTTAAAGTTTTTCTCAATCATGTCATTGATTGATAATCTTTCTGCACTATCATCATGAAATATTGCATCAGTCGCTTCATCCATCCATCTGAAAAACAGTTACAATTGTTCTCAAATCGATTTCTTGGACAACAATAAAATTTCCTTCTATAACTTCTATATTTATAAGCGTATATATTGTACACAAAAAGTTATATTTACACTAAATTCTTTCATTACTAACTTTTTTTTATGTTGATGAATGACTTGTGCTTATACTTGCTATTGTCCTATTAAAAATGAGAAAAAATAAAAATTAAGTGTTAGGTACTATTTCATATATGTTAAAAAAAGATAAATACACATGACATGAATGGTATGTATTTAAATCCTTATATATGAGAATTGTATGATAAGATATGAATGTAAATCCCCCAATTAAAATTACCGGTTCTAGATGACATATGAAAGATTCGGTGAAGTTTAGGTGTTGGACACGTTACACGTACACATAGGAATTGATTGGTAAGATTGTAAATCCCCTTTTATGTATTCCACACTTGCCGGGCCTTTAAGCGGTGACCATGAACCCCGGTGGGCCCCATCATCAGCCGTCCCTCACTAAATGAACGGCCAGATCACCCCATTTCCTTCTCTCCCTCCCAATTTTCTCGTATTTTTTTAGCTTCTCCCTCTCTTTTCCCGTTCCGCCGAAGCCGCGTGCGCGGTTTCGAGCACGACCTGTGGGATTCGGAAACCCTAACTTCCCGGATGAAATGGGAGATGGAGATGGAACAGATAGAAGCTGTCCTGGAGAGGATCTGGGACATCCATGACAAGATCAGCGACGCCATCCACGCCATCTCCCGAGCTCACTTTTTGAAATCGATTAAGAATCTCTCCCGGCCTTCTCTGGAGAAGAAGCGTCTGCCGAACGAAGAAGTGGGTGATGGATGCGACGAAAGGAGATGTGGGTACGTTTTCGTTAAGGGTTTCAGGGCGGATGAGGACGCCGCCCTCGCTGAGGCAAGGAGCCTCAACGCCATTAGGTCTGCACTGGAGAACCTCGAGGATCAGATCGAAGTCTTTCATGTGAGCCTTCTCTTATTGCATTCCCCATTTCTTCTCTCACTTCAGTGCCAAATTTGTACGTAGGCATGGGGTTTCATGTTTTCCTTCTTCAGATTCATCCTTACGATATAAGTGCTGATATTGTTTTTACTGTTTAGGATTGAAAGCTAATGGATTATGGTCTGGAATTTTTTATTTGAGTTACGTATTTGCATTTTTCTTTTGCTGATGTTGTTTGGCATATTGAACTCATTATTAGGTACGAATTCTAGTTTTAATGTTTACATTTTGTGTGGAAACATTACTGTTTGGCTAAGAGCAAATTTAAAATCTGAGCCGTATGATGATTCCTTTTCTTTTTCCTGTTCCACAACTTTGCCCAGAGAAAGTTCCGGCATGCTCTTTTTACTCCTACAAGTTAGGAATCACCACACGTTGTAACTAGTGCATTAATAGTCTCTTTTTGCAATTGATCATACAATGATTGGGCTGAAATAAAGTAAATCGCAGGCAATTGTCCTAAAATCCTTTTTAACATTTTTTAAAGCTAGTCCTCAAGATTTTTTTGATTGCTTGACATACTTTTGACCTGATTTTGAAGTGAGTGAAAGCTTTGTCTTAATCGTATGATTGTTGGGGCCTTGTCCACACAAAATAACACTAGGATATCTTTGGAAAAAGTTAAACAAAGATCTGCGGTTTAGGGTAAAAGTCTTCAGTAATGGAGTTTGTTTGCGTTTATTAACTATGCATTGTTTGTTGTTATTTAAATAGTAATGTACAAACAATCTCGAACAAGCTTTGATTGTTTTTTTTTTTATTTGTATTATATGTTTGCTAGAATATCTCTGTAAAACAAATCACCGGTCACTCTTTTCTTCCCTTTATTCTTTTTGTTTTTTGTGCTATTTGTTTGTATTTTGTAGCTCCTTTATAAATGGTGTCTCTATTCAAGTCGATGTTCTGTTTCACCTTGCTTTTGAGTAGCCAAGTATCATATTTTCTCTGCACAAGGGACTGTTGTTCCTGTTAAAAAAATTGGTTCTCTTAATTATTTTTTAATTTCCATTTAAAAATTATCGAACAATGCGAAGAATACATTTTTTCCTTGGATAGAATGCTAAAATGACAAAATTTTTGTGTCCACCTGTTTTTTAAAAAATTTGATTTCCAATTCCTTATTTACATTTTAAATGTTTTTCTCAGGTCTTGTATTATATTGTTATGAGGACTTTGAATAGCAGTGTAATAAGCTTCTAAACCAAGTAATACTCAATACCTCCAGTGCATTTAAACATGGCATGCATCTTTAATTTTTATCCCTTTTGTTTCAAATTCAGTTGTTTTTGTGTTTATTTTTTGGTTGAACTGAATGCTCTCTCGCTTTTTATTTGAACTTCATTTATATCGTATGCCTTTTGTTTTAATTTTGTATTTAGTTAGAGGTGCAGGTTTAATTGAAAAATAGATTGTCTGCACTCTCTAATAAACATGCTATTTATTAGCCAAATGCAAGAAAATATTTTCAGGCAGCAACGCACAAAAATTTTAAAAGACTGCCCATTCCCTTTGGATCATTTAACTTGAGAATGTTAAGGCTTCATTCCATTATGTGTTCTATTTGTTAAAAAATTAAAGCTTTTGCTCTCTCAGAGATGAGAAAATGTTTTGTAAATGTGTTGCTTGGTGAAAGGTTCTGTATTTCAGTGGTTAAACAACATAGTCTTTTCTCAAGGTCACAGTTTTGAACCACATAATTTTATATTCCATAAAAATAAAGGTTGTGGCCTAATGCCTATAGAGATGGGCATGCCCTATTGGCTTTGAATATTTCATTTTATATAGGAAAAAAAAAATTTGCAAGATTTTTTACTAGCAAAACAAGATCACTACCAAATAATATTCTTAATGAATAGCATACATTTTATGCTTTTTTATTTATGAGCAACTACTATGGATTATCTGCTTACAAGGTCATACTCTTTTATAGGATCCCGTTGTATTTCATTAATCCACATAATGTTTTATTATGAAAACTTTATATGATGCGTAAATCAGCTTTTATGAAGTTACTACTTATCTCGGCTATGCTTCTTTATTTTTGTATTGATTGTTTTTTTTTTTCAATCTATGCTTTTCTAATGACCTTGTGAGTTATCGTTTAAGTTCCTCAGGGACAAAAATGAACACATGTTACTTATAATTGAGCTTTTACTATTTCAACATGTTTCGTGTTTGCAATCCTACTTTATAATACATGTCTAAAGATTTTTTTTTTTTTATCTCGTGATAAATGAAACTTTTGCGTTTGTTGGCATGATTTTTGCGATCTTGTAACATTTAGTTCTCTTCTTACCTGTCTTAAAGCTAAGTAAACATTATTTAATGATTTATCCTTGATTTTATGATCTGTGCTTTCTTATGACCTGAGATTAACGGATTTGTTGTAGCCTACAATAAGTAATAATCATTTATCATGTGCTGTCATGTTAATACAGAGTAATATGCACGCCCTCTTTATAGGGAAATTTACATTACCGAAAAATTCTTATGTATTTACATGTCTAACGCCTAAACTCTTGAATTCACATTTATAAAATTTTTATGTAAGAAACCCATATATGAAAAGGTGCATCTAACTTTTTAAAAGTTGGAGATAATGATTTTTTTGACTTGATATTAAACATTGAGTGCTTTGCATGTAAACATTAAAAATTGTGTGTTAGTTATGTGATTTCATAAGAATTGTGTGGTATTGTATGTAAATTCCCCCTTTTTTATTGGTTATCTGAATGCATATTGGGAGACACAGTACAACGTAAGATGGTTTGTTCTTTAACACGTACTCTTACCTTACCATCAAAGTGCAACTAGCATGCTTGTGCATAAAACCTCGAAATATAATCCTTTTAACTGTATGTTAGTGCATCACATCTTGCAGACCATACAATCACAGCAACAAGCAGAGCGAGACGCTGCAATAGCACGGCTAGAACAGAGTCGTATTATTCTGGCAATGAGACTTTCTGAACACCAGGGGGAAAAACATAAGTTTATTGAAGAAGCCCAAGCATTTCTTTCGGATGTGCAAGAGGCTAGTCAATTCATTGCTCCAGAGAACCTATTTGTAGAACCAAAAACTCAACCTAGCGAAGTTGCCGGCACTGAAAAAGAATCCAAACCACACACATTCATGCAGATGTTGATTTCTAGCCTTGCACTTGCCAAATCATCACTTAACTTGGATAAGTTTAGTGGTGTCTTAGGCAACGCTGCTCTCTTTGCTGTGAGTATGCTGGCCTTACTACAGATGCAACAGGCAGCCCTCAAACATGATGCTCCCGCTTCATCAATCCGAAGTTCTTACAGGAGCAAGAGTGAGAGAACGGCAGCTAAGGTAGATTTTTCATCCCAATCAGAACTATTGCAGTATTTTGATGTATACTCAGCGAGGGGCTAAGTGAACAGTGGTTTGGCTTCTGGAGGAAAGTTGCTTTTTTTTTCTTTTTTTTTTTTTTTGTACATGTTTTTGGTAGTGTAATTTGTGTCCTGATGATTGTTTTTTCATTTTTCTTAGTTCTGTTTCAGTGATTCGATGCTAAAGGAATTACTAGTGATGTCTTCATCAGATTAGATGAGGTTTACTTTATGCAAACTTCTTCAACTTACGCACTTGGTATTGCAAGAGTGATTCTGTTATCCTTCTGCATATCCGCCACCTTTTTACTTAATCCATGTTCCTTTTAGAGGCTCCGCTGATTGGCACATGATCATCTCTACGAAGGTGATCATGTGGATGTTTATATATATATCACCATTTTTAGTCCCCTACATAGAGATGATCATGTGGAAGTTTATAACCAATCAACGAGGCCTCTAAAAGGATCATGGATTAAATAGAAAGGTGGCGGATATCAGAAGGATAATAGAATCAAGTATAATATTTATTTTATTGGGACCAATTTTTTATGTCAAGTGTGTAGGATATCCACTTAATGATTTGAGACTTTCTCATTCATACATAGCTTTTCGTAGTTAAAGACATCCATTGAAATCTTATGATATGTGTTTTGGGCATGAAATCAGGGTAGATGTTGATTCAGCCTTATTCGGGAAAACTCACTCTTGGGTGGGTCAGTTTTGATATGGGATGCTTCAGTTGATTATTTTAATGCTTAAAGAACTTGCCTCACCCATTTAGAGTCTCCCTTGGTCAAAAGAAGTCATAGAACCCTCTTATGTGTGTTTCGAAGAATATCAGACTTTGTTTCGATGTACTTGCACAATGGTCTGGGATCCTCATATATACTAAAATGTTTAATATAAAATCTTCAAAATATTTATTTTTAAGTCGTGGGGCTGTATCTCTAATGATATATGATTTATAGATCAAATTCATTCAACGAGCATCTGGACGTACATTTAAGACATGAAATTAGGTTTTGAGTCAATCCGATCGTGTCTGGAACTGGTCTTCCTTAGTTGGCACCCATTCTTGATATGATATGTATGGGACATTCATTTGCATGAAATGAGATCATATTTCATCCATTTAAAATTCTCGATGGTCAAGGGAAAAGATACAACCCTCGTGCAGACGCTCCAAGCACAAACCTTGAGCTTGAGATCGGCTTAGTTGTGCCCAGGATTTGTCATTGTTGATTGACATTAATCTTGATAAATGCATGTTAAATTCTATTTTAATGTTTAAAACTCATTTCCAATTTATTTGGAGCTTCCTATAGTCAAAGGAGTCCAAAAAATTCTTCTACACACGTTTTTGGCTCAAACTGGGGCTTGAATCGGCATAGCCACGCCCCAAAGTAGCATACTCACGCCATCCTTGCTTAGTCTGGGCGTGACCACGCCCCGAGCGCAACCAACAAGCTAAAATGTTGACTTTTTGTCCCCCACTTGGTTTCTAGAGCATGGATTGGGTATGGGATGAATGTTAGGGATCCAATACATCCCTCCATAAAAACACACCTCTCCAACATCCAATAGCATGTGTCCTAGGTGGGTTAAGCCTATTAATTTATGGCTTTTGGAGGGAAAAAAACCACCAATACATGGGCTTGTTGAGGAGAGCTTTTTGGATCCAAATTTCATTTGCTTGGGAGAGAGTTTTGAGCTAACGTGTGCTTGAGAGAGCTAAAGGAGATGTGGAGAAAACTTTTTGGTGATAAAATCTTGCCTTCTTCCTCTTCTACTGTGTTTACTTCACCCTCTATTATGTTCTCCTCTTCTTAACTTCATCCACCCACATAATTTTTTGAGGAGAGTGTGAGATAGAGGGGTGTTGGAGAAGCATTTTTGCAAGGAGAAGCTACATCATCTTAGCGGTGGAAAGCAAAAGGACAAGTTGAGAGCACACGTCCGCAAACATTGCGCGGGTGAAAATCTTTTGAACTCCTATTTTCTTACTTTTCGTAGCAAAACCTTGGGATTTTGGTATTAGAGAACTAAGTAGGCTATTGTTAGATGTGGCTACTAGGTTAGGTGCCTTTTCTTGTGCTTCCTGCTATGTTTCCCTCGAGATTTCACATTAGCCCTAGTTCATAAATGTGTTTGGCCGGGATTACGATAATTCTGTGATTGCTTTGGCGGCTTCATTCTTGATGAATGTGTTGAAGCCACCATTCAGACCTAGAGAATGAGGTATTTCTTTTGACCCCTTGTTCCCTAGATGTCCATAAGAAACTTTCATTTCGTGAAGGCTTTCTCTCATGGAAAAGCCTTTCAACATGTTGTCAAGCAATTAGAGATAGGCCATTTGTTACGTTGTGTAACGAACGACGGCTATGACTTCATCCCAACCCTAGGTTCCCGGTGAGATCGTTGGGAGAGATAGGTTTTTCCTCAAGCTCTATTGGGCTCATCTTTATGTGTGGATATGCATCTCATGAACATATATATGTTGAGCAAGGTGCATGAAGCTTGGAAAGTTGCTTGGCAAAACAAATTTTTTTTTATCACATGGTTATAAGTATGTGGAAAGTATTACTTTATTTTTGTTTGTGGTTTAATGCTCTAATGCATAAAAAAAATGTTTATTTTTGCTTGTGATTGAACATTAAATCAAGACACTTTCCATACATTGCACATGTGAATACATCAATATCATACTAAAACATATATATATATATATATATATATATAGCTATGTACATGCACACACACATATAGGGTAAAGGTCAATATATATATATATATAAGCTTAATGCTCATACTTTCATATTTATGATGCATGAAAATATATGTTAGCTTAATGGCTACTGTCAAATGCAAGGAAACCATATTTGCTTGATGTTATATTTCCTATAATCATATTATAAAAGAAACATTTTTGAGTTTGATATTTGCATGAGTTTATTCAAGGCACATGTAAAAACAAAAAAAATATATTTTCAGTTAATTTCCAATTCATGCCAAATGTAAACATGTTTTTTGTCTTCATACTTGGTTTGTCATGCATGTATACATATTTGTGGACTTTGTGCCTAGCTCTTCATGCATGAGACATCATTTTAGCTTGATGATTAGTATTTATGCATAAAAATATTCATGTTTAATGATCCATGCTAGTCTTGGCATTGATAAAATTATATCATTGCCATGAGTTAGTAATGTTTGTTGCCATATTTGCCTTGTTAGCATCTAATGGCCATTGCGATCCTAATTGATCTTCTATGTGAAGATCTTAGTCGACCGATATCCATGCAACATTGTGCGCTTGGCTGTCTCATCTTGTGCGTATGAATGTTAGAAAACCTACATTTGCATCTGCACTAGCGCTTCCGTTATGAATACATGTCACCACATGTGTATGACCAATGTTTGTTAATTTGATGATAGTTTATAACTATCATTCGACATTCGATGTAGTTGCTCACGCCTCGATAGAGAAGTCGCATCATGTTAAATCATCTGACGTGTTTATCATGATTATTCCTAATTTCCCCAAAAACCTTCACATATTTACACACTAGTGATCTGATCACCCTTGGCGACATCCTGAATGATCATAGCCTGACCAGCCTTAATGGAAAACCTTCTCTCTAGAAGAGTGACCTGAGGTTTGTCTTGATGAAATAACAAGCCTTGCTTGTAAGTATATCTTAGTAAGCAATGTGAGGTATTTCATCAAGATCAACACATTTATGATTGTGCTCAAGATACAAAAACGTTCAAATACGCCACTTTGCATGCCACACTTGCATTTAATAGCCCTATTTTAAAATGAGAAAAATATATTTTTGATTAGCGCTATCCACCTTACTTTTAAAACTACGCTACTAGCAAATTAAACCATATGTGAGGTCAACTCTTTTAAAATGTTATCTCATGGGTGATGCACATTAGATCTCTTGGACCTTCAAGATGGCGTTGGTGTCAACAACCCATCAAAGCCATATACCAGAATTAGCTGCACACTTTCTGCACACACTTAGACGCTGTGTTGGAACACATTTGCTTTGGATGCTTACTAGACTAGGGCTAGGGTGTAGTTAGGATTTTTGTTTACGTCTTGACTCTAGGTAGGCATTTTGCTTGATGCTTTATCTATTTACTGGGTGTGAGACATGCGTACTAGTATATTATGACAGTTTGCTTGCAGTGTGTCATGCTCAACAGGGAGGGACTGTTATGATTTTATCCAATGCATTTTTTGCAGGTGCTATTTGGTCTCCCTCCCATTGAGCATGGTTCATCACGTCGTGCCCGCGTAACTGTTATGCTAATTTGTAGAGTCCCTTTGCAGTGTCTATATCAAAAATAAGGTACGGGCTCGGGTTCCAAGCATTTGTCGTTCGGAATGGTGTGGTGTGGACTAGGAGCAGAAACCTGTGTCCCGTACCTTAAGTTTGAATCTATATTGTTATATAGATTTAGAACCATGTATGTATGCGTGAAGCCTGACCACTTTTTTGTATTTCTCAGATATATTGTCGATTAAGCAATACCAGGCCTATTTTATTCTTTCACTTGGCATGTTTACTTTTCATATTGTGTGTTAACTTTCCTCTTCCTTTGATTGCTGGTTTGTTTGGTGAGCTCCTCTGAAATGCAATTTATGCTCTTTAAGGACCCTAAAATTATAATTATTCTACAAAAATCGTAATAATTAAAAGATTAAGTCTAACAAAATTTTAGGATTAAAATTAAATATATTTTCAAAATCAACATTATTTTTCTGCTAGGCATTCATGTTGGTTTTTAAACGTGTTGCAAGCATGGCTCACCCAATAATGAATTTAATATGGTCTTCACGTATAAAGACCATTCTAGGCAATAATATCATCATATTTGTATGTCTGGAGGAGAAACCCTCGTGCTTCTCCAATTTGACTGGCCAAACATTAGTTTCTACTTAGGTGGTTGTCTAGAGTGAGCATAAGGTGTTGGAGACTCCCTAACCCTAACGAGTGATGAGATTTTTTTGAGTGTCTTCAGCTTGCTAAGCTCAACCTCTTTTTGCCTTTCCAGAGGCGTCCTTCCCACCTTCTTGGTAGGTGTAAGTCTCATGTTTGTGGATTCCACCTTTAGAGCGTCATAAGGCTATAGAGTCCTCTTTTCTTTGGCTTTAAGGCTACCAAGGTATCCTTGAATGATGCAATTCATAGATTGCTGGCAAGGAACCTCTAGTCGAGTTGGGTCAATTTCCTTCACAACCAGGTAAACTTAAAGTCTCAATAGATTGAGATGATGAATCTATGATATCTTGAACCGACTATGTTTACCATATCAGGATTATTTTACCTTTTCATTGATTAATCCCATTAAGTCCATTCATTTCCTTGGAACCTCATTGATGTCGTCTAGCGGGCCCCATTTTACCGACAAACCACTATCTGTTTGGGATACAATGATTCACCTTCTATCCTTATGGCACGGTATGACCTCGAAGCAGTGGGATAATTTTGCTTGACGACCTGGTTACCTCATAAAGCCTTAGTTG